ATACTAAAAAGGATCAAACAAATATGACTATGTAAAAAACAAGCAGCAGCAAAACCCTTTCAAAGTAGTAAGGTACAACAGTCCATTATTATTTTTAAAAATCTTCTCAGGCAGCTGGTCCCTCGGAAAGCTTGCCTGAAGAAAAAGCTCTTCTTCATCTGTTAGCGAAAGGATAGCAAAGATGAGGCCAGTCTGGCCTCCTGTGGGAGGGAGTTCCAGAGTCTGGAAGCTGCAACAGCTCTCTCCTGTATTTCCACCAAACACAACTGTGAAGCTGGCAGGACCGAGAGAAAGGCCTCCTGATGTGAACAGGCCATTAACGGAATTTGAACAATACTGTGTACAGAAAGATAAAAATGAAAGAATTCTGTATGTTTGACTTCTTTAATATATAAATGTATCACTGAGAAAGAACATGGTAAGGGCAGAGGAACTAAAGCATTCTTGGAAGCAAATTTAAATGATATACTTTAAGAGGTTTGGACAGGAATATGGTATAAATATCCATATAAATTAGTATCAGTTAAAACGAAAGAAATATTTCTGAAAGTTGTTCACAGATGGCATCTGTACCCTACAAAGTTATGTAAAATCAACTGATATATTAGACAAATACTGGAGAAAATGTGGATGAAAGGGAACTTTGGAACACATGTGGATTTTTGCCCCAAAATAGAAGCATTTTGACATGACGGAATCAATTGGACAGAAATGCTGGCTAATCAAAAAATAGTTCCAAATGAAACATTACCATTATTTTCAGCATTTGCGGGGAGAAATGAGAAGCTACTTAATAAAGACCTAATTGCAAATATAGGGACGGCAAGGTGTGAAGTTGCTACAAGCTGGAAAAAAGCCCAAGATTTTTCATTAAAGACATCTTTGAATAGGATATGACAAATGCTCTTGATGGAGAAATTGACCAATAATATAAGAATATATGGAGGAGAAATAAAGCACAGTCAATTTTTCAAAACTTGGAAACTTTTATTAAAATGCATCAGTGAGCTAAATGAGAAGTCACATGATTTAGGAAATAATCTAGATTACTCAGATTGTTGGTCGGTAACTTTCTAGGATGGAATGGGGATTTGAGATTGTAATTGTAATTTTGTTAAATGGTGTGAATAGCTGGTGTTTAGAATGTTAATATATTAGTAAGATGAATAGTTAATTGTATTACCTGTTTATAATGTGATTGATTGTCTAAAATAAAGTTTTGTAAAAATTAAAAAAACAAAACAAAACTGTCGAGCAGGCTCATACAGAGAGATGCAGTCGGTGAGACAGCTTGGGCCAAAGCCGTTTAGGGTTTTATAGGTTAGGGTTAGAGTCAACACCTTGGATTCAGCCTGGAAACAGATGGGTAGTCAGTGAAGCTGCTGTAACAGGAGGGTTATGTGATCCTTGTAACCAGCCCCAGTCAGCAATCTGGCTGCTATGTTTTGGACTCACAAAACTTTCCATAGGCATACCTACATAGAGAGCATTACAGTAATCCAGCCAGTATGTAACTAAGGTGTGTGTCACCGTGGCCAGATCAGACCTCTCCAGGAATGGGCACAGCTGGCACACTAATTTTAATTGAGCAAATTCAATCCTGGCCACTGCCAAAACTTGGGCATCCAGGCTCAGAGAATCTCACACTGAGTCTTCCACTTTTTCGAACATTACTGTCTTTTCCAATGAGTGTTGTGTTTTCATGGTATGCCCAAAACACAGTAGCTGTTGTCACTTTGGAAGTCCATTACCTATGCCTACATTCCCTTTCGTTTGGTCTCCACCCACCCACCCCAACTGCATATACTGTGTTTATGAATCTACAGCCTAAATATAGTATTCTAAATGAGGAAGTGGATGGTCATTGACAACATCTCATACTGAAATAAATCTGCTAGTCTTTAAGGTGCCATAATACGTTGTTTGTTTTTATTATATATGTGTAAAACAGCCTTTACAAAGCACAAGAGTTTCCTCCAACTGAAGCCTGTGTGAAACGTTTGTTTATTTAAAACATTTTTACTCTTCAGCTGTAAAAAGTTTCCAAGTGCAGTTTAGAAAGATCAGCAATGGAACCGGTCTACTAATAAAATGGCTCTTCCATTTGTGTTGTGACTTTTATCATCTGCAAACAAAAAAAAGATGCCACACCCTGACACCTCTGGGTGCACGGAACTACCAGTCCAATAACCTACCATCAAACAGCTATGTAGGCTATGCTGTCTAGGGGATGATGGGAGCTGCTGTAGTCCAATATATATGGAGGGTGCCAGGTGGGGGCAAGCAGCCCTAAGGCCTTCTCCATCTATTACAGCAGACCTGGGCAAAGTGCGGCCCAAGGGCCACATACGGTCCTCGAGCCGCTCCTGTCTGGCCCGTGGACAGTTTTGAACATCAAAACCATTTATAGCTTTTTGTCTAAGGTTGATCAGTTGCTTATGTTTAACATATTGCAAAAAAAAAAAAACTCTTTAGGATTTGTGAAGATTAACAAGTTTAAAATAAAAACAATCATAACATCACTCACTGTTCATTTTATTTTTAAGTAAAGTTGGTTCGGTCCCCGAACACAGATGTTTCATGTGATCCCCCTATAGAAATTAATTGCCCACCCCTGTATTACAGCGACATTCCTTTCTTCTCGGGCCACCCTACCCTTTAACAACAACAATCCCCTCCCATCTGATGATGAAAAGTTTCAGTCATAACAAAAGCTTAATCCCTTAAAACTGTTGAATTGGCCTTAAAAATGTTAGTACTCTACAATGGCTTCTGTATTTATTCACTGCCCCCCCCCCCATTCCCTGTGGTTCATTATGACTGCTGGCTATTAAAGTAACTTACACAAGAGTGAATTTACTTTCCTTGGCCCCATGCCAAAGGGGCATGCAGTTCTCTGGAGCCCAGGAAACCTGGACTCTCGGCTTTCTTTCGTTTTCTTTTGGCTGCCCTTCCTATTTGACAGGTGATTGTGTTTCACAATGGCCAATTTACTAAGAGGAAGCAAGCATTGAGAGGTTTGTTGCCATCACAGTTTCCATAGGAGCAGAAACTTTGTTTCTTGGCATGGGGAAGGTCAAGGTATGCTGAAGCAAACGGGGGAACTTTTGAATGGTCTCTTCAGGATTTGCAGTTACAGCACAGTTTGGAGAGAGGTAAGTCTGGACAACGCTAAACGGTCGGGTCATAGTAACTTCCCGTGTGTTTAGCTTGGCTCCCTTGAGCAAAGCAGCTGACATCTGGAGCAGCTGACATCTGGAGCAGCTCTGAATGTGGAACCAGATGGGAATCTCTAAATGGGTCAAGATGCAAGGATGATCCTATTTTGGGAAAAAACAAAAAGGTGGAAAAGAGCAGAACTCGGTGGTGTTATAAATCACACAAATCTCCTTAGACCCACGCCGTGTGGCCAATACCAAGCAGTGGTGGGAACTGAACTCCAAAGTTTCCCCATCCTAGGTATATAATTCATGAGAGTTGCTAGGTCTATTTATCATCAAATAGATCCTGATCATTCACATAATTGCATCTTGTATTAATTTGATCAGATGCTGTAGTTACGTGTGCTCTGAAATATACAGTAAATGTGACATCATTCCTTGGTCTAGCTCCGTAAAGTGAAATACAGCTTTTTAAATTCTTTCCATAGGTAGGGTATCTATGGGACCATAGAAAGCTGCTCCTTAAGGGATCAAATCATTAGCCTAACCAGCTCCGTATTGTTCACCTTCCTCAATGTTCCTCCGGAAGTGGAGTGGAGTTCCAGGGTTGCCATCCCGATACACAGCCAGCAACTGGTCTTTCGAACATGGTTCTGCGGATATGGCAGCCTCAGATCTACCCCACAAAGATCTGGAAAGCTCTGACAGAAGCCTACTAGAGTCTCCGTTCTTTTCTGCTGCAGAAGAAGCATCAAATGCCAAGACCAGCGTTCTCTGTCCATCAAAGGTATGATTTCTGCTGCAGAAGAAGCATCAAATGCCAGGAACAGCGTTCTTCTCTGTCCATCAAAGGTATGGGTGAATGCTTTTAGTTGCCTCCTGGCCTGAAAAGGCTGAATACTCATATATGTACTATATATTATCTAAAGCCTCTTCCTCTTGAGGAGGGTTTTTCCCAGGCCACCTTTTATAAGGTCATTCCTAAACATCCCTGTGCATAGGCTTAGAATCTGAAAGACATGACAGGAGGAAAGGAAGAGGAAAGCAAACGCAGGCACAGATTTTTGAAGTTGCATAGATCTGATTTAAGGCTTTTGTGCCCTGCTTTGTTGGATTTTCTTCCAGAGAAGGAAAAGGCTAGAAATACAGACATCAATCTATCTTCTACCGGCTCAGACTATGGATCCCCCATGCTCAGTACTCTCTTCTGACCGGCCATTCTCAGAATGCGACTGGAAAGATTATGGACAGGGATCTTTCCTAAATGTCCCCGGAGGTGCTAAGGGTTGGCACCAGAACACTTTTGCATGTAAAGAAAAAAGGCCCAGGTTCTGCCATTGAGTTCCTGCCTTTCCTGTCCTTATAAGATTAGTGGTGATGCTTGTTGTCTGGCTTCCTCTGATTGTTCTGTTTCTCATGGTGCAGCAGTGGTTATCTGAACAGAACACTCCTTTGCCCCAGCTGCAACCAGCTAGGGAATTATACTGTTCAGTAGACAGAGTAAGCAAAATATCATTCTCATTTTCATTAAGTCCCCAAGGACCAACACCTTGACATTTTTTCCTAATTCATTTTTTTTGTTTAAATCCGGTTTCTGATATGTTCCAAATATAGTGACTTTCCATGGAAGATCGTGAACTAATTTCTTTCTTGCTTTCTTGCTTTTTGGGGGTATCATCTATTTGTCAAGGGAACACGAGGATACCCGCAGCGCAGCGCTGCAAGAAGCCCAGTCAAGGGAAATGGTTGTGTCGTCCTTCATCCCAGGCCTCTCCGAGGAACCATAGCCTTGGGTCCACAGTGCATCGCTTACTCCAAGGAGAGTGGAATGTATGTTTCGCTTTACTTGAGATTGCTGTGGGAGAGACATAGGACAGAATCCTATGTATTTGATGGGTTTTAGGCCCCCCAAACAGGTGTGTGCTGGTTTGCAGGCCAGGAGGGGGTGGCAATCTTACAGAATGAGGGGAGATTCGGGGGGGGGGAGAACAAACAAATTCCAAATCCTATTGTAGTTGTAGAAGAGTTACGTAAAGAGGTAGCCGTGTCAGTCTGTGTTAGCATATCAGGCGAAACTAAAAGAAGAACAGAACGTTCTAGTGTGAGCTTTCGTTGGCAAGTCCAATTCCTTAGAACTTCTCCACGAAGCCTCACATTAAAATATACCAGTTTGTCTGCTTTATTTTTTACTCTTCTTTTGGTTTCACCTGATATGCAAATCTTGCTGGGCTCCCATCCTACTGGTGGAAGAGGCAGAGAAAAATCAGAAGAGAAATGCACATGCCATGCCAAGGGCTGCCATATTCTTTCTCTTTCTCATGGGGAGAGGGAGGACTTTGGATCTGGTGGATCCGAAGCCCCTCCCTGTCTGTCCCTCCCATTTTACCATCAAAGCACTGAAGATGGAACAGCACAGATGGCAAGTTTCCATCTCAACAAGGAGAATGTTTGTCCCTCTCTGATCATGAGTGGAGAAGAGTATCTGTTCCATCTTATGGCTACTGGGACACCCTTCCAGAGAGCACAGGGTTGCAGCCATCATCTACCAGGCATTATCTGTCTCAAGAAGGAGATAGAATGAGAGGACATCTAAACAATGATTCTAAACTTTGTGTTGATATCAAGAATGTCCTTTGCTAGATATGAACTCTACGAAAGCATCAGGAACCACATAAATAACGGTGGGGTTGGCTTGCATTTTCAATCTCGTCTGGATTTCCTACCCTTATTTTTATTTTCTTCCTTTTTTTGCTTATGCTTTGGCTTCCAGGGCCTTCAGTTTCAGTTCACCAGTTTTAGACAGGGTAGGGGAAGCCAAAGAGCAGAGCTAGGAAAGGCTCCATTTTCAATACTGCCGCTTCCAAAATCTCCCAGCCTCTTTGCTCTGTGAGTTTGCATGTTGCCCCCCCTTTTTTTACTCTTGGCAGAGATACAACGGACAGTACCAAGCACAGTGAGAAGCATCCCAGCTCAGCCTTCAGGAGGAGAAGCCATTCTTTCTGTCATCTCCCAAGCCGTGACAACAGGGGCTATGATCCCATGAACCTTCTAGTTAGAAAGGTGTGGAGTGGCTCAGAGCTGAGCCTGCTAGCATCCTTGCAAGAAGAGATGCGAAGGGGATCGGGATGGAGCAAAGTGGGCTCCAGGCCCAGAGGAGAACCTCAAGAGCGGAACCTGGAGTTGGAACTTAACATGATGCAGTTTGAACTGTTCTCCCTTAAGCAGAAGGTAATGTGAAACCTCCTGGGAAGCTGCCAGATGTTTCCAGCCAGAAGGCCATGTGGGAGCATCTGGATCAGCAGTGATGCTCTGGCTCTTGGTGCGGGAAATTCAGTCTTACTCACATTGGAACTTTTTGGTTGCCATGGCCATGAAGTTGACTCCAATTCATGGCAATCCCAAAAAAGATTCTCACGATACGTGAGATGTTCAAAGAGTGGTTTACGCTTGCTGTCACCCAGTACGTTCTCATGGCTGAGCTGGGATTTGAACCCAGGTCTCCTGAGTCCTTGTCTGTCTTTCTGTCCAGTACACTATGCTGGCTGTCAATGATAGGAACTGATGCAATTAAAATACAAGTGATGAGCATGAGAATCAAGTCTCTGTTGAGAATTTGAATCCCTTTTTGGCAATGGAAATTCACTGGGGAGGGCATGGATAAAACCTTTTCTTCAACATCTTGTATTTAGGCTTTAAAAACTATACTTGGGTTTTGCTTGACAGCATACAACTGTGTAAGAACATTAACATGCTGACTCTTTCCCACCACAGGCTGATGGCCTCTGATGGCCTCTACATATAATACAAACTGAGGTTTATTTACAGTCAGGGCAGGGAGAATGCCAGCTTGCCAGTCTAATCCAGCCAAGAGATGGTCTGGGTTCGGGTTGAGTCAAAGCCCTGCCTTCTTCAGTGCAATAAATGTAAGAAGTGGTCCCTGAAAACTTTGCTGATCCCTTATCTCTTCCCCCAACAGATGGAAAGCTCCTTCACTCATCTCGAAAGGGAGAAGAAATGGCTGGAAACGAACCACGCTGAAACCAGGAAGCCGGGAGGAGACCTCAAGGATAAGTGAGCAGGGTCTTTGCCTTTGAGCAGGGAGGAGGGGGGGCAACTTGAGGACCACTTCCCAAATTCAGGAGCCCCCTTGAAGCTGTGAGTTCAGGCCTCTGGCAAGAGTGACCTGTCCTTCTCTCATTTCTCCACAGCCACCTGACTGTGAGAGAGCAAAGACTAAGCGGATGATCACACAAAGAAACAGACTGCAGTCGGGACTGCTTGCAGAGTAGTTCTGTGTGGTCTGTTTCCTGGCGATCACACAACACACCAGAAAATGTCCTTCAGCTTGACCTCGATCTGTGCCCAAGCCGAACCTGTTCTGGCCATAGCTGCAGAGTTCCTGTCTTTTTGGGGGGCCATTCAAGCCACCCCTTCTGGTGTGATCAGGCACGCACCTTCGCAGCCATCTCAAATCACACCCTGAGTGAAGGCGAAGGGGTGTCAGAAAGAAAAAAAGGGAAGATCTTAGTTACATTTTAAGAGGAACTAATTACACTGCTCATTACTTCCAAGCAACCACATTGCTCTCCCTGCTCCATCTCAGCAAGTATGTCGTTGCGCTGTGCATAAATGAGTGCGTTGCATGGACTTTATCACCTGCTGTTATTTTGGGCTATCAAGTTGCTTTTGACTTATGGCAACCGTATGAATGGATGACCTGTAAAAGGCCGTGTCCTTAGCATCTCTGCTCAGGTCTTATAAACTAAAGACTGCGATCCCTGTCTTGAGCTAATCCATCTCATATTTTGCCTTTCTCTTTTCTTGCTGCCTTCAGCTTTGCCATTATTGTCTGTCCCTATGAGTCTTGTTTTCTCAGGATGTTTCCAAACTATGGTAGCCCCAACGCCTTAATAGTAGATGTGAAAAATACAAGGAAACATTCTCTAGTTCCCTTTAGTGGCCAGTTCTGATATCACACCTTGGCAATATTTATAGCAATGCAGAAGATGCAACTGGAAAACACACTTCCCTTGCCACCTAGGACTGATAAGATGGCATAAAATCATAATTCTGGTCCAAATGCCTTTAAAAGCCCTTTAAAAGTAATATTGGAAAGTAACTAAGTGTTACTTGTGACACCAAAGCAACATAGGTGTTAACCATTACATCTACAGTGGTGTCTCGCTAAAGTAACTAAGTGTTACTTGTGACACCAAAGCAACATAGGTGTTAACCATTACATCTACAGTGGTGCCTCGCTAAACGGTGTTAATTCATTCCGTGAAAATTGCTGTCTTGCGAAAACATCGTTTTGCAAAACGCAAAAAACATTGGAATGCATTGAAATCTATTTAATGTGTTCCAATGGGAAAATTGTCGTTTTGTGAAAATCATCCATAGGAAACATCATTTTGCGAAACGTGGTTCCCCATTAGAATGCATTGAAATCTATTCAATGCGTTCCAATGGGGAAAAATCGTCGTCTAGCAAAAATCGTCCACAGGAAACCATCGTTTTGCAAAGCGCAACAGCGACATGCGTTCCAATGGGGGAAAATCGTCGTCTAGCAAAAATTATCTTCAGGAAACCATCGTTTTGCAAAGTGCAACAGCGATCGCAAAAACTAATCTTCTAGCGGATTAATCGTTCCACGAGGCAATCGTCTAGCGAGGCACCACTGTAATTGTAATTACTAGGTGTGCTACTTGTAGCCCCAAAAAAGAAACAAGGTACGGGAAAACGGATTAATCGTCCCACGAGGCAATCATCTAGCGAGACACTACTGTAATTATAATTACTAGGTGTGCTACTTGTAACCCCAAAAAAGAAACAAGGTACGGGAAAAATACTTATAACTGGTTTCTTCCAAATTCTGGTCTTGCTCGTAAAAAGCCTTAGTAAAGTAAAATGCTCAGAAATCTCCACACAGAGATGAGGAGGAGCCATTTTAATCCCACGAGGCAATCATCTAGCGAGACACTACTGTAATTATAATTACTAGGTGTGCTACTTGTAACCCCAAAAAAGAAACAAGGTACGGGAAAAATACTTATAACTGGTTTCTTCCAAATTCTGGTCTTGCTCGTAAAAAGCCTTAGTAAAGTAAAATGCTCAGAAATCTCCACACAGAGATGAGGAGGAGCCATTTTAAAAGTGCTCGTTTCAGTGCCATAGCTCTGCGAATGTGCTTCAGCATGCACAGGGAAAACAAGAGAGTGGTGACATTTTAAAGAGGAATGGGTTTATTTCAAGGTGAGCTTTCATGGATCACATCCCATGTCCTCAGATGCAGGAGATAGGCTACAGGCCTGCTCCCTGACTCTTCCTTTCGTTAGGCAGAGTATTCTGGCTTAGGGTGCGATCGGGCTGCAAGAAAGGATCCTGTCTGATTGCACTGTGAAACTGGGGAATTTCTAGCAACCTTGCTGGACACCCAGTATGGTGTGGCAGATGATGTGAGAGACTAGGACTCAGGAGACCCGGGTTCAAACCCTGCTCTGTTATGGAAGCTTTATTTGGGGGTGGAACTGGTAAAACCACTCCTTAAAAATCTTACTTGCCTTGGATCACCAGGTCAGTTCTCTCTCTCTCTCTCTCTCTCTCTCTCTCTCTCTCTCTCTCTCTCTCTCTCTCTCTCTCTCTCTCTCTCTCTCTCTCTCTCTCTCTCTCTCGCACACACACACACACACACACACCTGCTTCCCATGGGTGGAGGGGCAGGGCGGAGCACCTTGTACATATGTCCGGGCATGTCTGTCTTTTAGGACCTTCCATCTAGAAATGGAGCTAGAAAAAAACAAAACTTATTTCAGCAAGAGGAAGCCTGCGTCACCATCAACAGCCCCAGATTCTGGCCCAGATCCAGACACGGTAAGGAGAGTCTTCCAAATGTCGGATGGGTGTCCTTTACGGATCACAACCCCAGAATCTCCCATCCAGAGGGGCCATATTTTCCACACACTGTTCCATTCTTCATGAACAAAAAGATGCATTCCAAAAAAGATGTATAGACTAGCTTTCCACAGCCTGCTCCCCTCCTCATCTTTTGGACTACAACTCCCATCGGTCCCTTTAAGCATAGCCATTGGTCAGGTATTCTGGAGTTGCAGACCCATATGTTTGGTGGGAACCCAAGCAGGGGAAAGCTGTATGGACGGCGATTGATAAAATCTAAGGCACGAGGGCTGTTTGTTCTTTGAACAGGTTTCCATTGATTACGGACAGGGTTTTGATGACTTCATAACAACCCAAAGCCAGAATAAAATGCACACATTAACTCACTTAGTATAATCAGTACATTTTTGTGGGGCTTGGGACATGAATTGTTGGGGTATTTAAAGCACAGTGGGTTTAGAGGTACCACCACCCTGAACACAACACAGGAAAAGTGGCTTTTTTAACCTGGTGCCCCTCCGGATGTTTTGTACTAGAACTTCCTTCATCCCTGCAAATTGTCAGTGGAGTCTGGGGCTGATGGGAGTTGTTGTACAAGAACATTCTGGTGCCACTCTGTGGGGTTCCTTGAATGTTTTAATCAACATTTGCAAACCTGGGTTCAAATAACCCTTTAGCCCTGAGGCCTGCTGGGCAGCCTTGGGTCACTTTTTCCACTCTCGCCTACCTCACAGGGTTGTTGAGAAGGTTTAATGTCCAAGTGGCAGAGGAAGAGAAAAGCAGAGAAGCTGCCTTGCGCTGCACCAAGAAAGACAGAGAGAAGAGGGGATACAGTGGGGTCTCTACTTAAGAACTTAATCTGTATTGGAGGGTGGTTCTCAAGTGGAAAAGTTCTTATGTAGAATCTGCATTTCCCATAGGAATGCATTGAAAACCATTTAATCTGTATCTGCTCTTTTCCGTCCATAGAAACTAATGGGAAGCTGCTATTCCGCGTTTTACCACTAGAGGGGGATTTTTTCTTTTTTTCCCCTTAGGTCAGGGAACAGTGTTAAAAGCACTTCTGACGAAGCTAATTTTGAAGCAATGGACTGAAAACCAATTAATCCGTTCTGGGAGAAGCTGCCTTGCGCTGCACCAAGAAAGGCAGGGAGAAGAGGGAATACATCAACCCAATATGATAAGTGCTTAAGTAGAGACCCCACTGTACATCAACCCAATATGATAAGCACTCTCTTTTGTACCAGGGTAAGAAGAATGTGGGTCAAGAGCTGAGCGCTCTCCAAGAAAGCCTGGCTACTCACAAGAAACGGATCAAGGCCCTAGAAGCCAAACAAAAGGAAATGGCGCAGCAGCTGAGCACTGCGAAAGAGGTTTGTCCTAACAGGCAGCTTACGAGTGCTGGCTGCATTATGAGCCAAGCACCCTACAGTTTATTTATGAGTGACTCCCTCCTCCTTCCCACCTTATTCTCCCTATAGCCCTTTGAGGTAGGGCAACCTGAGAGCATGTGACAAGCCCAAGGTCATCCAGTGGGTTTTCATAATTTAGTGGGGATTAGAAACTGTATCCCATCTAATATGTTAACCATCATGCCACATTCCATCCAGCTGCTGTGTGCTGCTGTTAGTTCTAACTTGTTTTCCCCCCTTTTGTGCTTTATTGCCCTTATATTTCATGCCTGTTTTTAAATTTGTACATTAGGGGTCAACATAGACTTGATATTCAAGCTTCCAAAATCAATTGGCTCTTTTCCTGGCCAGAGAATTTTGATTGCTGGGTGGTTTTAAAAATCAAGAAATGTAAGGGGATGCCTTTAAATTAAATTTATTTATTCCTTCTTTACAATGTCTGGGTTCTAATGGATTCAGGTTGCTCAGTCCTCATTGGTTGCTTCCGTTGTTTTAAAAAGCAGAACACTAATACATGTAACAGGAGATCAGTTAGGAAGCGAGAGTAGGAAGATAGCTAGAATATTTCCCTCCTCTTGTCTTTTCTTGATGTATATGCAGATTGATACTCACAGGCTTCCTTCCTTCTTTCTCTCCCTTCCTGTTATTACTTGCTCCTCCATTATACTTGAAGAGGCAGACGTGCACATCTGGAAGTCAATGTCAGGCACTTCTGAATCAGGCTTGAGAGATCTATCCTACAACACTATCCACTAAATAGATTTCTTGAGTGAAAGAACGATACATTTTCCTTCACTCTCTTACAAATTTCTAGAGAGATATTCCTATTTTGGTAGTCACAAGCTCAGGAGGAGGCCACTGCACCCTGCAAGTAAAAATGCCAAATAAAACATCTTCTCTTTTTTTTTTGCCTCTGGAGGTTTCCGTTTTTGCAGACCCTGCGGTTCCCCTCAGCATACTTAGACCTTCCTTTTTCTGAAAGCCCACTTCACCTAGGGAGCCCTCAGCGCAGAACACCTGAGTTTTTATTATAATTATCATAATATGCTGGAAGAGTTGGGGGAAGACATGATTGTTACCTGGGTGAAATTGTGTCTGAAGACTGAGCAGCACGACAGCCTTCACTGTTTGCAGATTTATTGTTTTATTTTATTTTATTTATTGTCATTGTAAGTATATACACAGTATACCCATACAATGAAATTCACAGACACCCAGAGACCAGACACATGCACACACATAAAATTCCCCAAACACTCCCTACCCACTAAAAAATCCCCCAACACTCCCCACCCACTAAAAGTCCCCACTAGAAATACAAACGTTGTTGTTGTTGTTGTTGTTGTTGTTGTTGTTGTTGTTGTTGTTGTTGTAATCCCAGCAGGGTTTTTGAAAAACAGCACTTCCAGAACATTCTCCTCCTTTTTGCTCCTCAGGGACAGCGAACAGCATTCAGCCAGATCTCCAAAGCAGAACACAGCACTACAAATCCACCTCAGAGCAACGAAACGTTGAGGGAAGGAGAAAGGATCCGGCTGCGAGCTGCTCACAGCAGCATCTGCCTGGTTCGTACCCCCAGAACATGTTTCTTGGCTTGAGCCGCATCTTCCCCGTGGCCAAGATCCTTGTGAGAGAAACGTCAGCTTTGCTTCCCACTCAGAGCCTTGTGACACCCCGGAACGTCACGCGGCCCCTTTGAGCCACCCAAAGGACAAAACAAGGAAAGGGGAGAGGGTGGGTTGAAAGCCATAGTGGCTGGCAACCCACTAGGGTTGGTGGGGCTGAAGGACACAACAACCAGTTGCGGGTCTGGACGGGAGCAAAAACAGCCGTTCAGACAAACACACTGAGACCCAGAGGTTTCTTATTCTCCTAAAGGCAGTCCGGCTTTCACACGGACGCACAGAAAGAGCCCCTTTGCCTCGAAGAAAGAGCCGAGAGGAGGAAGGGAGCTGGCAATAAGCTGAGCCTGGCATGGGGCAGAGACTCTCTTCCTGGTATACACAAGCAGCTGATGATTTAAAGGGCACCCGAACCCAGAGCCTGTCAAAAAAAGAGCAGCTCCAAAATTACGCCAGCCAGCATGAACTGTCAATAAGATCTACCATGCAGGACAAACAAAATTCTCAAGAAAAATGGGCAAAGTCCCAGAGAAGGTGGCTCTTGCTAAGCCAGCGGGAGGAATAGTTTCTGCTGGAGGTGCTTTTACCTGCACACTATCAACATAAGACAACGCTTTCCGCCCGCTGGCTTCCTCCTGCGTTGGATGACATTTTTTCTTAGCCCCAGCCAGCAAAGGTCGTGGGGTCATGGATCCTAGATATTAGAATATAAAACATCTAGATTTCCAGTGGCCTCATTAAGTGCCAGCATGGCTTCTAAAGGTTCCTCAGTTAAGTGGCTCTTTAATTGTCCTCCTGGCCCCCTTCCCTTGCATGTGGGCCCTACTACTTAAATTAGCTGGTTCTTGTTCCCTTGAGGTCTCTTTGCAGCATCCCTCAATCAGCCCTTAATTAATCGGTTCTTGTTTCTAGAGGGAAGCCAATCTGTGTCCTTGTTTCATGTCTGCTTGAGGCAGTCATTTCCTCCCCAGCTTCCCCCAACACCCCCCCCCAACTGGCAAGGGCTAGGTTCTCATCTGCTAGGGTCAGTTCGTTTGGATTTTAGCTGAAAATGCATCCTGTGCCATTTGGTGTTTCGATCCATGCAAGACCTGGGCAGAAATGCAACGGCTCCTGGGTTTTAAGTGAGCCTACGGCTTGATTTAGAACAATAATTCTGTGATACATTCTAAGCCAATGATTCCCAACCTTGGGGGCCCCCAGATGTTCTTGGACTAATGCTCCCCAAACCCTTCATCACTAATTGGGAATTCTGGGAAGTGCAGTCTTAGAACATCTGGGGACCCGTGGTTAGGAGCCACACGGTTCCAAGCCAAGGGTGGAGGAGGTTGTGGCCCTCCAGATGTTGGTGGCTGGCCCATTTTGGGCTATTAGGAGTCAGAGTCCGCCATCATCTGGAGGGCTACACCTCCTTCTCCTTTGTGTTAACCACACTGCGAGCCGCAGAACAACAATTAAAACTGCATTCTGGTCGAACGATCTGCTCATTAACTCAACAGGAAAAGAACCAACTGGTGGAGAAAGTGAATGGGTTAGACCTGCAGCTGAAAGCGACTCTGTCAGACCGGATGCGACTCCTTCAGGTATCGGAAACTTGCAGGTCATTTGGGGAGGAAAAGGTGGGCTATTCGAAAGGCTAACGGAGAGCAAGCAGGGGCTAGGTAAGAATTCAGTCCCATTAGACTGCCTGACTGTTACATAACAGCACTGATGTTACCTGTCTGTCATGGGTTTGGAGGGAAAGTTCCATCCTATGGGGAGTGGAAGGCGGGACATCAGGAGGAGGGGCTGTACTGTATAAATATGTGATGCCTGTGTGGTGAAGAGTAGATGCTGAGACAGACTGTGAGACACTGGGTTGGGACGAAGCAGCAGCTGGGGAAGAAGAAGCTGTTGTGGGAGTCTGGGTGTCTGACAGGGTACTACTGTGTGTCAGAGTACCAACCTGAAAGGTTCAGGGGTCTGTTGGTTAGCCAGAACTGATGGGTTCAGGGTCTGTGCTTTAAGTTAAAGGTTCTAGGTGAACCAAACTGTATGCTTGTGTGTGTGAGAATAAGCCACGTTACTTTATTTTATTCACCTGATTGTTTTATTTACCCTGTTTGTATTTAAAATAAACCTTATTCTTTTGTTGTTTAAAAATCCATCCCTGGTCTGTGTGACTTATTATAGGGAATGGTTGGTGGCAGCTTAGTGTAACTGTGTGACATATCCCAGTAGGTCTGGGTTTGTCACATTGATTGGTGTCCAGCGTGTGGGATACGACTGGTCCAGTTGTCCAGCGGTCCAGCAAAGCCTTGGCAAGTGTGCCCAGAGCAAGGGGGGTCTAGTCAGGGACAGTCTGAGGCGCGTAGGTAATCTTCTAGGTGTACCTCACGGGGAGGTGCACTAGTAGAAGAACGTGCCAACTGGGGAGACTTAGATTAAGGTGCTCTGAGGCAGCCTAGTTTTGGCGGGAAAACGCTGAGGCAAAACTGCGTAGCAACAGCGAGCTAGCTTGCCAGCTGAGAGGCCCAGCAGAGGGGGGTAGGCTCTGACTCGATACTGTTACAAATTTAGTGCTGAAGAACAGCAGCAATCTCTAGGGAGAGCTGGTTCTGAGGCAAAAAGGAAAAAAGTGGTCGTTTTATTCTGAGGCTTGACTTTTAAAGCAGCCTGTTCTGAGGGGGGATTATGCCCTTGACTCGAAGCAAAGTAGCAGACATGAG